TATATAATTATACTCTTTACATTTTACAATAAGTGTTGTTGTACATTATTGTACACAGTACTAAGAAAAATTAATAAACATAAATTTTTTTTTTTTACAAAATTAACATAATAATTTATTTTTATTAAAAATGATGCAACATAATAATTATTTTTTAAAATATATTATAAGAAATATAAATAAATAAAAAAATGTAACCATTACTACATTAAAAATCTAATATGTTTTTGGAACTTAAATTATTTTGTACATATTAACTTTTTAATATAATATTAATTATTTTTTGTACATTTATGTCTCTTCAAAAAATGAAATTTATTGTATTATATCGTTTAGAAGGTTAATTTTATAAAATTTTTATTCTCTTTTATTTATTTATTAATTTTTCTTAATTTTTATAAAATAATTTAAGATAATACTTAAAACAAGACGAGAAACATTTAAAGTTAAAACTATAGCAAATTTAGAATAAATGAAGAGTTTTACTTTTCTTTTTATCTCTCCTCAATTTCATCTATACACCTTCAACTTCAACTTTCAGGTATACTTTATCTATTTTCTAACTTTTATCCTTCAATCATATCGATTTGGCAAATGATACTAGTTTCGGGACTGCATCACCTTACATAACTCAAAAAAATTGTGTCCTCCAAAAAAAAATCTTTACAAATAATTAACAATTCACTTTTTTTTAAATCAAGACAAAAATGTAAATTAATAACAATCTCAAATTTAATATTCCATATTCTATAGGTGATAAATACTTGCATGTGAATCACCTAAAAACTTCTTTATTTTGTTATTGTGTCCATGAATCATCTAATAAGAAGTTTCATGCTAGAATTTTCCTTCGCAAACAATCATTCACCAGTGTTATGTTTAGGAGAATTATCTTGCTTGATTACAAAATATTTTCAATGAATTTTAATTTTGTTATGGTAAGATTTATTCAATGAAATTAAATTGATCAGCTCAGCCAAACTTTTTTTTTTTCTTTCCAAATTTCCAATATTCATAGACATTTCATTTGGGTTTGAGATTTGAGATGAGAATGGGAAATAATCAACCATGAAAAAACCACACTATACTATTTTTTATTATTTATTTAATACATCAAACCTAGGCTTAGGCACACCTACAGATTGCTTACCGGGAAACAACTTGACGTCACGCCTCTAATCAAACGAAACTAAAACAACATAAAAAACTGTTAGCAGTTTCTTCTACGTCATCTTTTCTTCAACTACCTACAATTTTCATCCCTTTCTTATCCTCCCTCTACAATTCTAAGAAAAAATAAAATAAATAGTAATTGGGATCATCAACATGCTAAAAACGTTCCAAATTAATTTTTTTTTCAGTAAAAAAAAATGATTCGGTGATTCTTAAAAGGATAATTGAAAAGGGTAAATTGGGTATATCGCCGGAGACCATGGAAGCAGGTTAGTGTTGTGTTTATCGTCAAACTCGTGAAGCAGTGACAGAGAAGGTCCACCAACCGAGCCGGTGACGGAGTTTCGCTAACAGCCAATCACACTCCTCCATGTCACCCCTCCTTCTTCTGCCCTCCCCCACGTGTCGACGGTCACCGTCAACTCACCCCCTTCTGTCAAATGAAACCCCAAAAAAGGTTCGGAACCAATTTCCCCAAATTCTTTTAAATAAAAACCAAAACAAAAACAAAAAAAATGAACAAAGAACGAAAAGGCGTCGATATATTCATTCTCGCCGGCCAAAATTAAATTAAAATAAAATAAATAAAAACCCTAGCTTCGATTTTTCTCTGTCTCTCTCTATAACTTCTCACTTTCTCTCTCTACCGTAGATCGGCGGCATGGACGACGACGAGATCCAGTCGCATTCGTCGCCGGCGAGCGGATCCCCGGCGTCATCGTCGCGGCCGAACGGCAGGATAACGGTGACAGTGGCGGCCCCGGCGCCGCAGCCTCCGTCGCCGCCCGCGGTGAACGGCCTGGCATTAGCACTCCCGATCCAGCAGCCGGCGAAGGGAAACGACGGCGGCGGAGGGAGGGAGGATTGCTGGAGCGAAGGCGCAACGGCGGTGTTGATCGACGCCTGGGGAGAGAGGTATCTGGAACTGAGCAGAGGAAATCTGAAGCAGAAGCACTGGAAGGAGGTGGCGGAGATCGTGAGCGGCAGAGAGGATTACACGAAGGCGCCGAAGACCGACATCCAGTGCAAAAACCGGATCGACACCGTCAAGAAGAAGTACAAATCGGAGAAGGCGAAGATCGCCGCCGGTGCCATCAGCAAGTGGCCGTTCTACGACCGATTGGACCAGCTAATCGGTCCAACCGCCAAGATCCCTACCGCCGGGAACAGTAACCTACCGCCGCAGAAGGTTCCGTTAGGGATCCCTGTCGGCGTCCGTGGCGTCGCGAATCAGTTTCACCATCCTCAAAAGGCGCCAGCGACGAAGAGCCAGAAGATTCAGTTCCGGCGCTCTGGTCCTCCGGTGGAGTCCGCTTCGTCGGAGGGAGACGTGTCGTCGCCGGCGTCGAGCGACAGTTTTCCGCCGGAGAGATCGGAGCGGAAGAGGCGGCGGGTGACGAGCTCGAAGGGCGCGGCGAAAGGAAGGGACGGAGGTGGTCGGAAGGGGAAGGGTCGGAAGGGGAAGGGTTGGGGAAGCGCGGTGCGGGAATTGACCCAGGCGATTATTAAATTCGGCGAGGCTTATGAACAAGCGGAGAGCTCGAAGCTCCAGCAGGTGGTGGAGCTGGAGAAGCAGAGGATGAAGTTCGCTAAGGATTTGGAGTTGCAGAGAATGCAGTTCTTCATGAAGACTTAATTGGAGATTTGGCAACCACAATATCAATAATAGTGACAGTGAATGAGTGAGGAAGGGATAACTAGGTTAAGTTAAGGTTAGATTGGAATTTCATTAGCCTTCTGCTTTATGTGTTTAGTTGTTGTTATTATTATTATTATTATCATTATCCCGTAATTGTTACAGTTAAGTTAGTGGGAGGGAATGCTATGGTGGATGCTGCAACCTAAAAGAAAAGAAAAATGCAGGGGTATGTGCTGAATAATCTAATCAATCTCCTTGCATTGCAGCAGATGTATCGCTTCACTTGTCATGTGTAACACCTATCTAAGTTATATTAGTATGAGCCTATGAGGGCATCATATCTTCATCATTCATAGCTCTAGTTTCTAATTGGATACACTGTACATGTTGGATATGCAACCTCATGGGTTCCAATTTAGTTTTTAGTACATTTCAATTTCCTGCAATCTCACCTGCTTATTTATGTTCTTCTCTCCAACTGCTAGCAACCAAGTTCATATAGTGTTGTTTATTACTATGCTCAGTGATTACAATCTGAAACTAGCAGAGATAAACTGGTTTGTCAAACGACTGCAGAGTCTTTCACATGGAAATTTGCCTTTTTTTTAAGTGAGAGTGCAAAATTATAGATTAATCAATAATTGAGATTATACTAAAATATATGTAAAAATACAGTAAATAACAATTTATATAAAAATAATTTCAATTCTCTATTCTATGATTATAAACATAACTTAAGATCTTAATTTAAACTTAAGATCTTATACATTTTATTTTATTCTAATTAACTTTTATTGTTAGACCGATTTTACCGGTTCTTATATTATATTTTCTAAAGGGCATTTCTCATGTCTGCTGTCTGGGAAGTCAAATTCCTAAGTTACCATTAATATGATCTTCGCCGCCTCTAACGTGACCTTGAAATTTGATACAGCATTAAGAGAATACCTAACTTTAAGTTGGGCTAATCTTGGAACATTAATGACTATTATGAAGGTTTTAATGCCTAATTCTTATATTAGTCAACATTGGTTTGATGTCTCTAACTGTCCACCACTATGCCTAATTTCAACTCTTGGATTCTTATGATGCTGCCAATCATATATATCACTTCATTACTCAATGTTTTAAGCGCGGTGTGTTTTATTTAATCACAAGTGCTGATACGTAGAGAAATGTTGAATGTTATGTAGATCTAAATTCAAATAATCATCTCTGCAATTAATCGAGTTGAATGAATAATAATTTTCCCGTATTATATCTCTAATGAGACCAATCTTATTCCTCAATACAAGTAAGGCTTCTTATCGAGCTTCATCCAATACTTTACCCGGCAGTACATATCTAGAAACAAGTAAATAAGATGTCCAAATGACGCGAGTTGGTCACATCTTCATGGTTTAATTAATGATATCATGAAAGCTCGAATGTAAACGAAGCATTAAATTCTGATGTAGATTCATAAGACCACAAGGGGGAAAAAAAGCATGTTTCCTGAAGTTTTAGTTGTTTTCTGTTACTACTTTTTACTGAACAAATGTAAACACTTAGCGTGTGTTTGCTTATACGTTGAAAACGTGGAAAACCACGTTCAACGTAGAAGCTATTAGTAATAGCTTCTACGTTGAACGTG